TTATGGGCAATATAAGACTTTGCCTTGTTACCCTTTGTGCAAGACAAGAATGACATAGATCTTCTCTGATATACTTTAGTGGATTTGGTAGCGACTGGTAGTGAGGTATGCTGAACGTGGTCAGCTCTTGTTCATTACTTCACTTGATTTACCCAGTAAGTGATGACATGTACGTTTGGAAAATGGATGACATTGAGTAGGGAAAAGTTTTTGCTCACATAATGATGTCTTTATTTATACCTAAATTATTTTTTACAATGTTTTCCAGAGAGCAGTGTTTTGGAAGGATATTAAATGGTGTGAAGTGAAAAACGTTACCTGAAATTTAATTTAGTTTGGGAATCCTGAGCTATAAAGCTTCTCAGTTTATTTTATTACAGTATTTACAGTGCAAATCTTCCTAAGGATAGTAATATGCAGCTTTCTTCTCCTCATTTGAACTTAGAAATCAGTTTCTCTAAAGCATGCACTGAAATAGTTTTCTGAGAGACCACAGTGGAAAACTCTGGTCACAAATCAAGGCAACTGACATTTGATGTACATGTAGGTTCTTCATACAATCAAATTACCTTGGTCTAGGCCAGGGTTTCATTTTGTGAATGGTCAGTACTTGCAAATTTCAATCTAAGTAGAGTTAAGTAGCCCCCAACATAAAGCATAGGTACTTAGCAAAATTTGATGCTAGAAGATTTTTTTCTCTCTGCATGTCCTGATACTCTTCATTTTGTAAAATGCAAACTCCCCCACACACACAACATTCAAACTATCAACAATTCTTAAAATATATACACAATTAACAATATGACATGTGGTTATATCTCTCTGGCAAACATAAATCTTCAACTGCCTGAAATCGGGTTCACTTTTAATGTGTCAGAGCTTGCCTCCTTGTTTTCCCATCTCTGGCCATGTCAAATCACTTTCTGTTCTTTAAAGCCTCTTCATAGTTTTTATGTCTCCATACATTAATTCAAGCTGTGCTCATGACCTTAAATGCCCCATTCCTTGTATCTCACTAAACTTCTCCCAATAATTTTCTCCTTATACCTTAAGACTAAAGTATAACCATAATCACTGTCTCCCATATTTGACATTTAAAAATATTTATTTATATATTGTGTGTATATGCAAATGTACATTGATGAGCATGTGGATATGAATGTGCCACAGGTCAGAGCACAATCTGAGGAAGTTGGTCACCTCTTTGTACAATGTAGGATCCAGAGATCAAATATGGGTTTTAAGGTTGGGAAGCAATTGCCTTTACCACACAGCCACCTCCTTTCCCTATATAAATTTTAAAACATACATTCAAATCTCTAATATTAGGCTTGTCTACCACAGATTTTCAGTACAGAGTCTGGTACATATTTAGCACTCAATGGGTACTCATTAAATGTAGATATAAAGGAGTGAGTGTAGAGAGAGATGAAGTCACATGAATGAACCTTTTAAAAATACATAAAGAACCATGACATAAATTGTATTTCAGCATTGCAATTCCTTTCTTGCATCTAGGATATCTAATATGGAAGGAGCAATGTTGTATTCCTCTTGGAGATGATGAATGGTGAGGTAGCTGTTAAAGGACTATCTTGAACATTGGAAATTACTGTTTATCATGGCATCAGACTTTTGCCAGGGCTCCATTAAATATTTTCCTAACCACAGAACTCATAGATATTTTTAAAACTTGCATACATGTGAAGATTTTATCCTTATAGGAGAAGTTCAACCTCCTAGAAGTAAAGAAACTTCTCAATCTTTTTGTTTACTTGTTTATTGAGATTAACCCACACTATAGTTCTAGCTGGCCTGGATTTTTACTATGCAGCCCTTCTAGCCGTGAAGTTATGTTTCCTTTCTCAGCCTTACAAACACTGGGATAACAGGCTCAAATAATCTTTTAAATAAATGTACATGTTATCAAGACTCACATGCTCTGGATCCCCATGGTTCTTCCTTTTTGTGGGTGGTAGCTGCTACCTGAAATTCCTGTACAGTCTACAGTATGGCCTGGTTCAGGGAAAGGGATACTTGGTTCCATGCTATTTACTACATACTGAGAATTTAAGGGTCTCAGAACACAAAAAGAAATAATAGTTGCCCAAGGCAACAATAGGACAAATGGAATGTGAGCAAAGGAAGGGCTCAGGAAAACAGATGGCAGAAAGGCTGGTTCTTTCTTCCTGATTCCATTTTGGAAACTGGAAGCATTTCTTGTAAAGTACAAAACAAAGTGTGAGATGCCTGTGCATTGTTTTGAATTACAAACTATATAAAAGTCACCACCAATTAACTGGAGGCATTATCCTTATCCAGACAGTTAAGTGTTTTCTTAAAAAGGACAAATGGGCAAGATATTTAAATTCTTTAACTAATTCTTTTTAAAGCAATTTTTGATATATGTTTTACAAAAGCAGCCAGACATTAATCAAGAACAAAGAAAAGCATATATCTTTCCATTGATGGGCATTTAAGAGCCTGAAGGGTCATCTGAAAACTCTTCACCTGTGGGACTATTTCATAAATACCAATAGTTTCTAAGGAAAGAAGCAAGAGCATAGGAAAGTAAGCATGAACACATGAAGGAAAGGCTATATTTGTTATGAGTTTCTTAATTTAAGAGTTCCTGTCATCCTCAAATGGAAGACTATTGACACAACATCATAAGATGTTGAGAGCAAGCAGACATCAACTGTAGAGTGCCTTATTCTCCAAGAATTCAAACCATCTGCTTGCCTTTCTTTCTTTCAACTGTCCAGGTGTTGAGTATTGTTTTAGCACATACCTTACATTGGTGTTGATGGGGGCAGGTAAAATTACTGTGTAAGTCAGTCTCTGTATTAGTACTTCTATGAGCAGGTGACTGACAATTGAAAAAAAGTTGATAATCTTAAAATATTTTCTTTCTGGCTTTTGATATCAGATCACAAAATTTTAACAGCAGAAGGGTTGTTGGTAATGCTGATCATCCCAGTTTCATACAGGAAAATAGAGTATCTGGGAGGGAAAAGAAACTTGCACAAGACAACATTCTTAACTGCTGCTTTATTATATATTACATAATTGTATTGTGAGTGATACAGAAAAGGAACCAGTTATGTAAATTCTTCTTGAAGGTGACCAAAACCCAAATCTTGTGAAAATGAGAGGATATTGCCAATGTATTCACAAAGACCACTGCAATGATGCGTTCTTTATCTTACCATTGTTTTAATTAAAAAATGTGTTATACACTGATACTGTAAATTAAGTCACTGTGTATTATGAACAATTCACAAGAGGTTAAATAAGTGAGATGTGAGTGTGTAGTGAGATAGTCTTTCTGTGGCACTGACCACGCCCATTGGGGGGTGGAGCGATGGGCGGAGGTGACCTGAGGAAGGAGGTCGGAGGGGGCCAGGAAGGCGCTCTCTCTTTCTGGCATGACTCGGACAGGAGAGGATCGGGTTGAATTTCCTGATGTTCATCTGTCTAGGTTGTAAGTTATTTCTCCCTGAATAAACATCTATTCGGCCTATTTGTTTATCCTGATCCTTATTTACCGCAATATGAGTATATCAGAAGACTTGCTTAGTACTTAGCACATTCATGTAGTAAAATCTTTCCTTTCAGTCCTTCCCCCTGTCACCTCTCCTGGAATTCTTTCTACTGCACCCCCTATTTTCTTGTGGCACTTCCCCATTGATAGCACAACTATAGGATATCCTTAGAAAAGACCAAACAAGAAAAAAAAGGTTGGGTTTTGTTAAATATTAAATCTCATTTGATGTGGTTCCCTGGATAATAACTCATGGGGCATCGGCGTGTGATACCCAAGAAAACTACATAATACTTGAGATGCTCCTGTTGATCAAGCCTGAAAATTTTGCTTATAATATTATGGTCTGTTTAAAACTACTATGGTCTTTGAAGAGGGGAGGATGTAGTTATCCACAATGATATACAGACAGAGTAGGCATAAAAGTGCCTTATAGAATGCCAAAGATAACAATTGTTCTAAATTAGCCCTGAGATGGAAGAAAAGTGGGCTGAATTCCAGTTATTTTGGGTTTTCCCAATTGGTACGAGTAATCTACTATAAGGTTATAGTTTTAGACACTCAGAAATAGATTTGTTTTTCTTTGAGTCCCATTTTTAAATCAAAGTAGACTAATGAGCTTCTTTTTCTCATAAAAGATACATCATCTGATTTAAAGCAGCAGGCAGCATTGCGGATTCTGGCATAGGGAAGATGAAGATAGGAAGAATTAGGAGGGAGGAAATATATGTCAATCAAGTAGAATGAAGCCATTTTGGAAGGACGACAGAGCTCATGGTAGACATAAGCTCATGGGACACAGAGACTTATGATAGAGGGTCAACCTTGAATGGGCTATATCTCCTAAGAAGCTACTGTGCCATTGGGAAAAATGTTTTTGGAAATGATCAATGCATTTCTAAAGAAAAGGAAATGATTAAAAACCCGGCTGATTTATGGGAGACACAGAATAGGAAATTGGCTCTGTTTGGTACCTTAGTCATAGGATCCAAAGAGAAGCTGCTTTCCACTCCAGTTGGCTGTCTCTATAGTGCATGCAGCACTTAGCTAAGAGATAGTCCCAGGTGTTCAGAGCTTGGCTGTGCCATGCTCAACCTGCACCTGTGACAGTTTGGATTACTAGGTTCTTGCATCCCTACCATTGAACAGCATCAGGCCAGTATCATTATATCACCTGAAGAATTGAATCGAAAAAGCACAGCCTCATTCATCTTTTGTTAGTTTCTGATCCTTACTTTATGTCTCCCTGTCTTATGTCAGATTCCAAAGATGTGAATGCCATGGGTTCAAATAAAGAAGGCAACATGAGAAAGTCAGCCTGAATCTATTGCATATACAGTACTCTTAGAAGCAATACAGAGGAAAAACCAGTCTAAAGCAATTATTAAAACAAACAAACAAAGGATGAAGCTGAGCAGAAGAAAGATAAGGAGAAAAAAGAAGAAAATATCCATACCTCCCAGAGTCATCCCTGCTTCATAGCATTTCCGGAGTCGACAAGATGGACAATTTTTCCTCCGAAATTTATCAATGGTGCAATCATTTCTGCTGGCACACAGATACTTCTGCTTCCCTGGAAGAAAAATGCAATAGTAGATCTGTTAATGTGTCTCCAGAGCTTCTTTCTTTGAGTACTTCTAGGCAAAAGAGCAATAACATACTATAAATTGAGAGACAATGGCCCCCAAACAGAATTTAACCACAGTATGGGACCAAACCAGACCCTGTGAATGTGGGTGAGTTATGTGATTTGATCTGTTCCGGTGAGGGGTGAACCCTGGCAGTGGCACCAGGACCTCTTGCAGGGGTATGAACTGGCTTTTGGGAGCCCATTCCCTGTGGTGGGACACCTAGCTCAGCCTTGATATGGGGAGAGGAGCTTAGTCCTGTCTCAACGTGGTATGACAGACTTTGTTGACTTCCCCAGAAGGCCTTACCCACTTGGAGGAGTGTGTATGGGGGAATAGAATTGGGAGGTAAGGAGCAGGAAAAAGGAGGAATGGGGAACTGGGATTAGTATGAAAAATGATTTTTTTTTTTAGGTTTTTCAAAGCAGGATTTCTCTGTGTAGCTTCAGAGTCTGTCCTGGAAGTTGGTCTGTAGACCAGGCTGGTCTCAAACTCACAGAGATCTGCCTGGCTCTGATCTTCAGTGTGCTGGGATTAGAGACATGCACCACTAATGCCTGGCTGAACAATTTTTTTTTTTTTAATAAAAAAGAAGGTGGTTTAATGCTGTGATATTTTGCTTTACTTTTATAGACATTTTAGTAGATATTAGCAATTCAGATCCTGCTAATACTTCCATTATTAGAACTGTTTACTGCTTTTGAAAACAATGTAATCATGCATAGATTCATACTTTAGCTAATTAGATGTTTTAAAAAACATATTATTTTTATGTGATCCCTAACAGTTTTTACATTGCTAGTGATGGCAGTCTCAAATCTGGAAGTTGTAAAAGCCAGAAATAAAACCCGCACTTTGTGTTAAAATCACAGCTTACAAACGGAAGTCCTCTTAAATCAGTAGAAGGAAAAAAAAAAAAAAAAAAAAAAAAAAACACAGCCATGTACAACTTGAGTCCTCATAGATGTACAGAGAAACTAACCTCCCTCATTTCAGAATAAGAGTTATTCAAAGGCAGATGTGGTCCCAAACATGTGATTTACTTAGTACTTTGCTTTTGTTACATTGCTTCTAGTACCAGCCTAACACATATTAGGTACTTGATTAACATGTATACATGCAGAAGTCACCACCAAAATAGTTCAAAATACATTCTCAAGTACTCTGTACATTGTTTATTAGTGAGAAAACTAGATGGAAGAATATAGTCTTTTAAAGGTATATTCTTTATTATTTATTCTGTTTCACTGTATGGCTGAAATATTCAGAGTTCTATATCAAATAATGATATGTCTATATATTTGGCTTGTTTACAAGTTTAGCAATAATCTTCAGCAAAGTACTTGTAACAGAGTTACCATATTCCCCTCTCTATGTTATCAAAAATAAGCATCATTATTATGAAAGAGATTATGCCTTCCAGTGTTATGTTGAATAGTAATAGGCAATGTACATCCTTGTCTTTTTTTCTAAATCACAAATATTATATTAATTATAGGATGATAAATGACCTTTGATTTCTGCTAAAGGAACATTATCTAGTATATTCAGGGTGTTTATCAAGAGATAAATTCTGATGCCAGGAGTTGGTGTCACGTGCCTTTAATCCCAGCACTTGGGAGGCAGAAGCAGGTGGATCTCTGTGAGTTCGAGTCCAGCGTGGTCTACAGAGCAAGTTCCAGGACAGGCTCCAAAGTAATACAGAGAATCCCTGTCTAGATAAACAAAAAACAACAACAAAAATACCCAAAAACCAAAAAAACAATCAAAAAGATAAATTTTATCAAATGCTTTTTCTATCTTTGCTGAAATGATCATATGATTTTTATTTTCCATTTTGTTGATGTGGTGAGTTGTATTTCTTCATTTATTTGTATTGAACTAGCCTTGGATCCCAGTAATAAATCATTTCTATAGTAATGGATAATTTTTAATGTGATGTAGATTGTTTGTTAAAGGTCGTCTTTCACCATCTATGTTCTTCAGGACTATTGACTTCCTTGGCATTACGTCCTTGGTTTTCTCTAGAACTATGGATATAGTGAATGAGAAATAATTTAAAATACTATTTGGTCACATCAAGCTTAATTCTCCATACAAATCTGTAACATACTTGCAAAAGTTTTCCCCAAACTTTCTTGAATTATGATTCATCTTGTAATATTTCTGGACTTAGTTAAGAGACACTTTCTTCCAGGAAATAGATTACTGTCTCTTTGTAGCACTGATCTGTCAGTGATAGTAACACAAAATATAACCTGTTAAGGACATTAAAAACTTCTTAATAATATATTTTAGTAGGATTCTTAGTTTTTAAGTTATGAAATGAACACAATATATGGAGATGCACCAAGTTCTAACAAGTTGAAGGCAGAGCCAGCATAACATTTGAAAACTGCACACAATGGAGATGTTCTGTGAATGATTTTAGTGGGAAGGAAAAGCATTCTAATCATGTCAGATATCATTTTCCAGTTTGTTTATTGTCAGCTTCTGTATTTTCATTTGATAGAGGAATTTGTAAGTTTGATCTGGGCTCGTATCAATTTAGTTTTAGTAGATCATATAATTTCATGTTGTAGTCTAGGTGGCCGAACAATTAGCACAGATAATACAAATAGCTATTCAGCTCCTGCTAATCACAGACTAAACATTAAACTTTACTCTTTGATACTGTTTATCTTTCAATAGCAGAATTATATCACCAATATATTATCGAGTTCTTACAAAAAGTCATTATGAAATGATTGATAAAACACATTTTGTCTCATGTTAAAGCATATAAGGATACACTGTAGAACTGCAAGACAACACTCATTTCAATGTTTTGTAACACTCAGCACTGTCATATCATTGATATGAAGTACATTGCATGCATGTTGGCTCTGGAACCATTGACTGACTGATGCTCTATATTTCTTTCTTGTGATATTCTGTTTTTTAATAACAAATCTTGAATATTATTCCATGCCCCAGCAGGAACTACAACCATGTAACATGGCAGATTTTTCCCAGAGCCTCCCTATTTCTGTTCTTTTCTGCCAGACCCACTATGTTTCCACCAAGTTTGATTTCACAGCAATGTCTAATTAAAATATTTTCCACTTTAAAAAAAGCACATCATTTCAAGTAAAAGAATGAGGTAGATGACTTAACCACTATCAGTGTCATTGTTTCATGTAAATGAAGGGTTGACCTATCATCACCATTAACTGAAGAATGAAGAATGAAGTTCTTCATACTACATATAGAGAGTGTTCATATGAAACTTGTAAGGCAAAATAAAAGAAATTATTGAGGTATGTAAGAGAAGGTCTGAAATAAATTGAAAGATGTGTAGTAGTCTACAAGAAGAAGATACAATATTTTAGAGATTTCCGTTCTCTCCCAGTGAAGTATGTAAATTTAAAGCTTTCTAAACAAAATTTTGCCAAAATCTGTTTAGAGAAATATATTGTGTGATAATATTAATATATTTTTCAAAAAGATTAATAATAAGATATTCTCTACCAGGAATTTAAATTATTTTTAAGACACGACAATAGTAATAACTTGGTACTGGCTTCAGCACAGGTCAACTTGTAAAAGAAACAAGAAAACACACAACATATATAGCCTAGATAACATTCAAATTTAGTGAATAAATTATAAATTATTCACTATATGGTTCCAGAATAACTTGTTAATCATTTTATGTAACAGTATACATTTTGGGACCCACAAATGAGAAAAAATGATATTTGTTTTTCTGAGACTGATGTAATTCACAGTTGTCTTCAGGTGCACAAATAACAAAACTTCACTGTTTATGTTAAAAATTTCCATTGTGTATATGATATATTCTTTATCTGCACTTATGTTGTGAGATACCCAGATTAATTTCATAACTTACCTATTGTGAATGTGCTCCAATAAACTTGAATTGCATATTTGTTATACATTTTTTAGAATTTTTTTTTTTTTGCTAACTAAACAGAGGTAGTATAGCTGGCTCATAAGGTAGATTTTTTTTTTTTTTGAGGAAACTCAATACTGATTTCCATACTTATTCGACTAGTTTACATTTTAACTTACATTGTATATGTATTCTCTTTTGTCTAAATCCCTGCAAGCACTTGATTTTATTTTCTTAATAAAGGCTAGTAAAGGAGAAAATTTTGATATGTCAATTGACCATGTGTATTTCCTCTTTTGAGAACAGGGGCTATTTCACCAGTTAATTTATCAAGTGAAATGTTGGATTTCTTGTTTATTTTTAGTTCTCTGTATGTTTGACAAAAGATAAAAAAAATTCAATAGAAAAATAGGAAAGAGAATGAGTAGGTAAATATAAGAAGAAATAAAAATAACCAGTACATATATGAAGATTGGTCAAATTCCCAAATAGAAAGACAAATTAAATATCATTTTATATGCTAGATTACACATCCAATTAAATACTAAGTATTGGTGAGGGAATATATTCGTTGGATATTTTAAATAATTAAGAACATACATAATTTTGTACTAAAAATCTACCTTCTAGGAATAACTAATATGCAAAAAGAAGTTGATTGTAGCATTATTTTAACAGGATGAGTGAGATTTAATTGTCTACTACTAGGAGACTAATTGAGTCATTGCATATTCATAAAAGAACCACTTTTCAGTTATTAATGATGGTATCAATTGCTTTTGTGTAACTTAGAAATGTGTTATTAGATATACTGGCTTGTTAAAACAACAAAAATGAAAACAAATAGTGTATTTGACTAGTTTCCATTTTAAAATGTAAATCCCCAGATCTCATCTACTCAGGTTGATTTTCCTGAAACTTTGAGAAATAATTGCATGTGTCATTTATTAGTGGAGCATGATGTGATGTTTTGATACATGTCTATAACATAAAATGATTAAAGCAAATTAGTTAACATAGCCATTGAATTCACTGACTATTTCTTTTGCA